CTACGACGACTACTGCTACCTCTACCTCTACCTCTACCTCTACCTCTGCCTCTGCCTCTACCTCTACTTCTACCTCTACCTCTACCTCTACCTCTACCTCTACCTCTACCTCTACCTCTACCTCTACCACTACCACTACCACTTCCACCACTACTACTACTACTACTACTACTACTACGACTACCACTACTACTACTACTACTACTACTACTACTACTGCTACTGCTACTGCTACTACGACTACTGCTGCTACTACTACTACTACTACTACTCCTACTCCTACTGCTACTGCTACTGCTACTGCTACTGCTACTCCTACTCCTACGGCTACTGCTACTGCTACTGCTGCTGCTACTGCTGCTGCTACTGCTACTGCTACTGCTACTACTACTACTACTACGACGACGACTACTACTACTACTGCTATTTCTACGACGACCACGACGACGACTGCTACTATGACGATGACGAAGACGATTATTATGTCTATGACTGTAACCAGTGACTAGTGGTAGTACTTACTAGTCCTAATTATTACTCCCGCTATCGGTTGCCATTGTTCCTGACGCTGGCCGTTGTAGAATCAGCACGGCCAACATTGGCTTCGATATCCACGATGGTGGCAATTGCACACGCTGCTGGCTTTGACAATGATGGAGACAATATCCGTTGTGGCAATACTTGACAACCCAGAAGAAGGAGAGTCAGAGTCACAAGCACCATAGTGACGAACATACTCGTGTACCACTATCATGTGTCACCATTAACCTACGGTTCTTTATGATTCCAAGAGCCTGACCCCACACCAAGCCTGAACCCTACGTTGCGCGCATCAAGTGGGGCACCACACATGTCAAAGCACCGGTGGGGAAATGCGAACGGCATCCCACATGGAGGCTCGTAGTAGACAAGGGGCAACTCGCGAAGTTCGTTGCGTAGCCCAACCGACGGTCCTCATCCGAGCTGCGACGCTGCAGCTTGCACAACATTGCAGGTCGTGTGAGTGGTTGTAGCTCCCGGGTGCACATGCACCGAGCATGTGGGAATATAGTATGTCGGGGAACCATGCTAACGCATCGTCGCGCTCAACTACGGCAAGAAGGGCGAAAGCCGCGGAAGCGCCTGCGACACTGAACAGTTGGCTGTGAGCGAATGTGAGCGACGATAGGGCTGACAGCGTTTCAGCAACAGTCGCAAAGGAATCCGAAGCTTTGCTCCTGCCCAAGACTGTGTTTTGTAAATTTTGTAATGTTGTCAACATTATACACGCCAAGCACATGGCCACATGGCCCATAGGCGTGTGGAACACTTTATTTTTGCTCACCGGTGCACTTGCAGCATCTCCGTGCCCATCGACTTACAACATGGACTGTTACAGGCCGCACTCACTGGGTTGTCTACAGTTGCAACGAGCATGGCATCAAACAGCCCTAACAGAAGCCTCTACATTCTACATAAAAACAACACATTTCCATTCGCAATCACTGGCAATCAGAGCTCCGAGCCGCTTGCAGGTATCGCACACATTGACACACAGGCCACGCTGACCGGGACACCAATTTTTTAGGATCTCACGTTCCTAGATAAGGTTCGCAGCGACTGCGTTGATTGCGCTGCTTTTCCATCTCCAAGCTCGATGTTGTCGGCTTGAGATCTGAGATGTGAGTGCCGAGATCATCTGCAGCAAATTGTTCGACTATTCAGGGTGACAATTAATTCGTCCAGCACGTATATGGCCTGCGCGCGGAGCATGTTGGTGCATTCATATGGATGTGCTACACCTCGTCATCGCATGCGTGCTGAGGCGTTCTGTGCGCACCGTCGCAGGCATCTGCGAAAGCAACCCGAATTTAGCTCGAGTTCATTCGGATTTTAAACGGCCATGGATCTGCATGAAACATTGTAAACAAGCATTTTTCCCAATCTGCGAAAGCGATGACCTATGACCTCGTCAGCCTTGGGCCTGGAGGAGTTCGTTAATGCCCCTAAGTGGCAACAGGTTGCCCACCATTTCTGTCCTGGCGTTTTTAGAATTTCTAACATGCCGGGGAGAGTGGCGCAGCGCAAGAAACAAGCTGGGCAACCGGCCTGCATTTGTCAGTGAAACTATGTTTGATGCCACGGGCTCAGCGCACATATGGCGGATCATTGAGTGCCCAGTCGATGTTCTTCTCGTACCTGGCATGCCCATATGCGGTTAAAATGTACGAGTACGTGGTACCGACACAATGATGAGCGTCCCGAGCAGCGCAGTTACACCGAACAACATCTCATCCATCCATTTATCCTTTCCTTTTATCCATTTATCCATCCTTCCATCCATCTATGCATCCATCTGGCCATCCATCCATATATCCGTCTGTCCATCCACCCATCCACGTCATACGATTCGAGAATGTATAAAGTCTCCTTTAAGCTCCAACCCCTTCTCTGAATCCCTGGGTTAATCGTTGCATAATCCGCTTTGCATCGTTCGACAAACCCATCGACAAACCCTTGTACAAACCCTCGACCAAACGCGTTGTTCAAGACGCTGCCCATCTACTGGCAATTACTGGTGGGATGCAGAGACATTACTTACCAACATTTTCCACCATGTACTGTTGAGACTCAGAGCTATTCCAGTACCGAATGTTTCCCCCAATGGCGGGATTCAGATGAGCTGTCTCTCTCTCTATACCAGATGGGGAGTGTGGGGAGCGTCCGGATTTTCCCCGGGGGGCTCGGCTGTACTCTCTTTCACCAGGCGGCGCGCCTCCTCCCCCTCTCTGACTTCCAGAACTGCGAATAGCCAAGCCGTGCACAGAACAGAAACCCTCGGCAAGCTCTACAATACAACGACTCTACAAGCCGGCAACATGAAGCTCTGCTCGTGTCACCCCGTTCCCGTGCTATACCGGAGTTGTGCTCAGCGGTTTGGCTGTCAAAACGGCAAGAATAGAGCACCAACAAGGATCCAAGTCGAAGCTGCCTCAAGCCTTCTGCGAACTGTGAACATATGTGAACCCAGTGAACTTCCGACCTTTGCTGGTGTAATGGCGCACTCGTCGATGCGAGCACACCAGGAAAAATCCGTTGCGAAGCCACGGCCTTTGCGAGCGGATCTGTAGTTTAGCTTTGCTTGGCTCTTGTCAGCTCGCCGCTTCCCGCGCTGAACAACCTCAGAGGCCCTTGCACTGCATTGCTTCGAACTCGTCTCTCTTGTGGAAGTACCTTGGACGAGGCGGCCACTACTGTAGGAAAGGCCGACGCTGCAGAGCCAGGCCACGTGTCGCAAGCTTTGTACACAACTTCTTTGAACTTGTCAAAAGCCAAAGGCAAAATGCCAAACCTGAGCTGCCCAGCTTCAGCTTGTGTGGCTTGTGATTTCAATTTCGCAGGGGCCACCCGGTAGCTTCATCCGGAGGATCGACAACGACCGAGTCCTGTTGCATCGATGCAGTGCATGAAGCCGATGGGCAGGGCTGACCCCGGGAGTCCTTCAAGCCGCCACAGAGCGTGACGATGGGGACGGTCCCGTAGCGCTGCGCACACATCTGGATGGGAGAATCGCCGTTGCAGCTCAAACTTCCGCGACGGCCGCAACAGAATTCATTTTGCACTGCAGTCGCGGAAAGAGGTTGGGAGGTTCATGCGGTCGACGATGGGCTAGCTATAGCTAGCTGAAGCTAGCTGTGCTTACGCGCCACGGCAGAGACATCGGCTTTCTCATGTCTCGTTACGGTAGCGGGGACACAACTTCAAGATCTATCCGCTTACGAGCATCTGGAATCCAAGTAGGTGCGTCGGAGAGTAAGCCCAAGGTATCCCAAGGCTGGGCTAAGCCGCTAAGCTCTTCGACGATGCTTTGCTGGCAATCTTTTAGCCTTCATGAGTGAATGCCTTATTTCGTCTGTTTCCTCTGCAACCTTGATTCACTCTTCTCTTTCTGCTCTTAAGATTCTTGAGGTCTTGCGATCCCTAGCTGAGCCACAATTTAGGTGCCTGAAGCGGTTTTGCTCATTGCTGCTGTGCAAACGGCACACGATGTCTGCTCGGCTTTGTTATCTTTACTAGTTCTGACATTACATTGGTAAGAGGACGATGGGTGACGGGACAGATTTGATTGATGGTTGACAGAAGCATGCAAGCAGCAACATTGTTTGCGGGAATATGCGGCATGACATGATGGCGGGAAGGCGCATCCATTGTCCATGCTTTGCGTCGCTTGCTCGGCTGTGAATGTGAGGCCCGACGTGTCTGGCAGACTACAACCAAGCTCATTAAGGCGTATTCCGGACCCACCTGAGGCAGCCCGCACGGCTCATACCTCCCACAGCATCGCTTTGACATCAAAGCAGTTCCTGAGAATTGGCCATCATGGCATTACGAATCTCGCCTCGACGGCATCAGCAGGAAATCACTGCCGGCATACCTAGATGCCAAGCGGCACAGCGACTGCGACTTTGTCCCATGCAATGTCACAACCAAAACCACTTCGGAGCACATCAGGTGCTCCACGACTGGATCGAAGCTCATCCTGGCACCCAACGGGCACGAGTGATGACACGCTCAACAAAACGACCTGTACCACCGCATCTCCCTACCCCGAGATTTTGTTTGCTCCTTGCTTTTCTTGTTGCCGACGTTGATCTACCCCGCCTTTTCCTTGCCCGTACAAGCTGCGCAAACATCCGATCCAGAAGTCATGTCATGACACTTTTCAACCTTGGCAGTTCTGCATCTGCGATTTCTTGTTGATTCTGTGGAAGTTTACTTGAGAAGCCACGAAGGCGATGGTAGCAGAAGCGCGAGAAGAAAAACAATGGCTTCGGTTTTTGCTTAAATTGGTCTTGGCATGTTCTGATCGCCAAAACTGGTCGAAGCATTTTGCCACTGCATGTCGATTGCTGTAGCTGCTCGCAGGGTGAAAGATTGGATGTAGCAGCACCGAGTCCAAGCTACGTAACTTACAGTACATGCAGTAACTTTTTGTTGCTAGTCTCCCCCCAAGACTCACGGCTTTGTTGCGCAGATCCACTGCGACTGCAAAGCAACATGATGACTCTGCAAGCAGTATGCCAACACATGGGGAGGGGAGGGGAGCCGGCGGGCTTTTGTTCTGAAAGATGCACAACGGCGGGACACATTGACATGCCTTCAACGGTGCTCCATCCAGCAGGCCGCAGGAGGCTTGGCCCCAGCAATGTGAGCAACAACTTGCCGGTTCGTGAAGAGCTTTAGCGATTCTACACCGAGTGACCTGGTGCATGTGTGCTTGCCTTTGTCCAACACGGGCAAATTGCTCTGACCGATGTGCCACTATACGCGGATGGATCTCCGCTTCTCACTGCAGTCAAAGGCAGTCAAAACGCGCCACATTGACCCGGAGAATCGCCCAGGATAACGTCGTGCTGCATCTTCCAGGCCTGCCAGTGCAAAACCAAACTGAATCCACCGGCAGTCACTTGTTATGTAGGCAGCACGGGGTCAGTGTAAACTTTCCTGACCGGTTTGAAACGACTTGGCCCGCTCGCCACTCGCTCCCAACCTCTTGACTCGTTTTTCACCCTCTTTCGACACACCACCTACCCTGAACCCCTTGAGGGCGAAGCAACTTAGACTCCAAACAATGAAAGCGCATGTAGCAGCTGTCGAAGCCCTCATTACATAGCCAAGACCCGCCCTGAGGTGTTCACAGGAGTCCAAAATGCACTCCAGACTTTGGCGGCAGCACGATTGGCACCCCAGAGCAGGCGGCGAGAGCACAAGTTTTGGATCTAGGGGGGTGGAGACTGTGGCAAAAGCACGATTTGGAATTGCCAGAAACCACTGTCGCCAAGATCTCACACTAAACTACGCAAGGGACGAGTATCAAATTGAGGCCTTGCCTTCCTTGACCTGCGGGTCATGTGTGGGCCGCTAAAAGTACGGCAGCTCCAGAATTCATCCAAGCAGCCTCTGACGTAGACTTCGTCACCATTGCCCATCATCAGAACCTTTTGGATGGTTGCTATCAGAGCTGTCAAAAAGTGCTGCTGGGATGTAGCCTAAGTCGATTGGCACTGCCTGGATGTGTCCGGTGACATCGTTTCCAGTGTCCTGCATCATCCACTCGATTGCCTGCCGGCCGGACAATGTCTTTGGGCGACACTATAAATACAAACCCAACATCCGGTGACTTGTTGGATCTGTATCTCTGCTTCAGTGTTGCAGCCGCCTACGTGGGGTAATTTATGGTCAGAAACGGCTCGTGCGATCTGTACCGTGTCGATGATCATCCTTACAATACTGGCTTTGAAATGTCTGGAATGAAAGGTACTTACAGAATTCGTTGCCGGAGTTAGGCGGCAGGACATTTGTTTGCTAATTGAGGATCTCCTCTGCATATTCAGCTGGTCTTCTCTGGAAGACCAGCTCTTCAAACTATGCTGAGATTTCTCACGTGTCTTCAACTTATAAAACCAAGGTGCAAACATAATGGAGAAACGGCCTTCCGGTCTATGTACAGTACCTCGAGGTCCATACATGATGCAAAGAGTGCCACTTCCATCATGAAGATGTGTGGGGATTTCTGCTACAGATATTGGGGCCTTGTAGCCGGGAAAACATTAAGGGTTATTTTTAAGAACTATCGTAGGGGCCGGCCGATAGAGGTTGCTATGGTCTCTATAGTTTGGACTGCAGGCATCCTGACAAAATTGTGTATACCAGGGTGTCAATGCCTACCGTCTTGAGCCTGCTCTGTGTATGTTGGTGCCTGCAGAAACTGATGGGCTTAAAGATGCTTAAAGACTTAAAGGTCCAAGAGGTTGGCATGTTGTAGACCCCTGTGCATTAAAAACGTGGGACACGAACCAGGCTTCGCGGCTGGATTCTAGCGACTGTGAGAATCTTTAAAGATTCGCAAATGTGCAGCAAAGAAGCCAAGGATCGGTAATCAAAATACGGCAGGAAGTTTCAGGACTGAAGTGGCATCAGGATTTGGATCATATGGGACATGCCTTGACATGCCATTAAGGACAGGTCCGAATTTCCTGGGATGGCTAGTTGAAAGCAGCGAAGGCAGGGCACAGACTGACTGCAGCATGTTCTGTTGAAACAAACTTCTCCCTCGCGGTTTCGCTATGGATTCCTGCTCAGTTCACACGAGCCCTAAAACCGTAGACCGTTCGGAAGAGGCACTTCTCACCTTTTACGAAGTCGCCTGACCCTGCAAGTAAAAAATGAGTGTGCCGGCTTTGTGGGCATTTCCGCAACGGAGGGATGGTGCAGGGTTTGATCATCTAGGTCAATACCAACTCCGAGACACGAAGTCATCACTGGCAATTTTGATAATGGTACTCATTTGTATTTTCATTCGAAACTCGAAGCTGCTAAGGTTTGTTATCAGCATATTGCTGTTACATGCCTACCCAACACTTTCGACGATTGGTCATACATCATCAATGTGTTTGAGTACGTACATATGGACGTACCTGTGCATGTTCCTGCGTGTGTGTGTTTGTGTGTGTGTACCACCCTGAAACCAAAGGACCTGCAAAAGCAGGGGGATCGTCGCACAAGCATGGTTGACGGTCCAGCTAAGAGGGCCATGCTTGTGACTGATATGGATCGAGGACGCTTGATCCACATACCTGCTACGATGCCCGCCCATGTTTTGCAGTGGCCATCAGAAGTGCTTCAACATGTGGAGTGTGGCCACGGGCTAAGCCAATAATTCCAACTTTGAGAAGACATGAAACAACAGTCTTCTAAATTATGGTACAACTTCGGTTATACTGAGGGTCACTCCAAGTGTGTACTTCGGCTGGTTTTCTGGCAACGTGCCAGTCGTGAGGCTCCAGCTTTTTGTAGAAAGCTCGGTGGCCAGAAGGATGAGCGCAACAGAACCTTCAGAATACTCTCCTACATAAATGCTGCAAGATGACGGGGCACTGTCGACTCGTGCTCCTGTTTGAAACATCGTCGACGCTACAACTTGTGTGTAGTCATGTCTTCGCCTACTCTAGAACTTGTGTGCAAGAATATCTTTAACGTACGTGCACTATGCTCATCTATTTTACAATTTGATACAATTTGTGTGAAAGACTGACATGGATACGTGCAGATTGCTCGTCTACTGTACAACTGGTGTCAGTGCAATGCAGTCCTTCCCATGTTTCCAGTTCCTTTTCAATTCGTTGCCACTGGAGCAGCAAGCAGTCGTGGCACCTCGCAGAGCACCAACTCCTCTTAGTTTTGGTGCTGTACATCCGACACGTCGTTCAGAGCGAATCAGACAACTGAGATGTCAGTTCGAAGAGCTGATTCACCTTTGTCAGAACGTACTCGTCGTTCCGAGATTCGCCCTGTACGGACGAGGTCTTATTCAAGATCTCGTGAACTTGGTTTTCAGTGCAGCTTTCTCTCATGTGTTGTTTATGTTGCAACGCGTAGGGTGTTGGTTTGCACATGTTGGAACGCGCGGAGGGAGGTTCACGCATGTTGGAATGCATAGAGTGTAAGGAGAACGAAGGCACAGAAGATCTTCACCGGCACCAATGCCGAGATCGCCATCAATGCCAGCACCACCCGTACTCAGCTTTGATGGCCGTACCAATGTGATTCACCCCGCGCTTCCTCAGCTTGATCCGGACACAGTCTAGATCTTCCAACTACCACACACCTACCACCCATCAATCCACAGTCACCACTCCCACGTCCACCACCGCCTTTTCTCACGCACCACCACACAACAATATCCCATTCCACATCAACCACCTCCACCTCTTGTCACCTCACCTTTGCCACCACCACAGCCGACGACACCAGCACCAGTCACTCTACAAACCACACCGAAGATGAACGTGCTCAAATCCGTTGCAACCATGCAAACTTCGACTCCCAACAATCCAGCTCCACACACTTCACAAATTTCTCCACCACCACCTCCACCCCCACCACCACCACCACCACCCACCACCACCACCACCCACCACCACCACCACCACCACCAATCATTCAAAACATTTCAACCACAACTGCATCCGACTATACACCACCACCCTTCACACTCACTATCCCAGCACGACTACTGATGCCACAAAACATGCATGAAGAAGTTCGTCAGCAACAAGTATTGCCATCCGGAAATGGGATTGTGTGGCATCCTTGCGACCCTGATCTGCTCAATTACAGTCAGGGAAGACGAACGTGCACTATGGTTGACTCTCAGATTTACACACCACTTCAACATGGTGCCTGTGATGATGTATTGCAAGGTCTGTCTAAGTCTAAGCTGACTGAGGGAGTGACAGAGGAGTTTATGGTTGATGCCACAGTTCTGTATCGTTTCGCGAAGATCCTCAAAGCAAGTGTTGTCAACTACACGCAGATTTACAAACAAAAAGCAACTATTCACAACGACCAAGATGGCGTTGTTGTATGGGGTTTTCCTACCAGCTCTTTCCCGGACCTTTTATGACCATCTGTGGCTCGGGCGAAAACAAGTACACATGGGTCCACGGGACGACGGAACAGCGGGGCCTTGGAAAAAAAACTGGGACGGCATCGCGGTCAACCACCGACGGGGTCGACCTCCCTCAGGGCACTCACGCCAAAGGCTTGTACTGCAAGGCGATGTGTTCGTATACCATCGAGGGCAATCCAGCTGGCTTGGCACAGGTCATCGTTAACTTCGCCTTCCACGGAAAGAACCTATCTTCGATTATTTTCGCAGGTGAATCCTTTGGAGCCCATGTGAAACCCATCAACGTGGATACTCATCGTGAACAAAAGCTCTTGAGCAGGTATCCGATTGTTCATTCTTGTTCCAAGGACACGCGATGGCTTGTACGTGAAAACAGAGCACGTATCACACACACACACACAGACAGTTTTCTCACCAGTAATGATGACAGTTGGGGTACACGGCAAGCGAAGCATACCGACCCCTGAATAGCAGGCAGCCTGGGGTCATAGAACAGAGTTCTTCTACAGTGTTGTGCAAGACTAAGATGTGCTGCTACAAGAGGACCCTTGAAGATCTGTGTGTACCATTTTGCAGTTTTCTGCCCCAGCGACATTGTCTGCATGAGTGAGTGCATTGAGTTCATTGTGTTCAGTCTGATTGTGAGATCTGTCAACAAAATTAGTTGCAAACCATCAACACTGTGAAGCATTGGTTCGAACTGCCCAGTACAATGGATTCAGCCTTCAATCCACTTGCAGCTCTCGAACGATAGATTCGATATACGCAAGTGGAATTGCAAAGCGTACGTTCCGACTTGAATCAGCAACGACAAGAGGAGATCTCGGTTCGACGGCTGCAGCAGGCCCAGCTCGACAGCCTTCAGAGCCAGATTGGTGACATTCAGCAAGAAGCGTGTGAAACACAGCAAAACCTGACTGACCTGCAGATGAACTTTCAGTTTTTCCACAATACTGTACAAAACCTCATGGAGGACTTTTCAGGACAATTTTCCACATTAAGAGCCACACAGCTGCCAGCAATGCAACTGGCACCAACGCAATCGCAACGTTAAAAACAGAGTGCCGTATATTGCATTCGGAGTGCGCGTGGATTCAGTGCTTGCATTCAGAGTGCACGCATGTGCAGTGTTCGCAGTTTCACGTTTCATGTTCTTACATACATTTCAGGATTGTTCTAGTGGTCGTGAGAGTTTAATCAATAGCTATGACAAGCCACAGCCATTTCAGCCATGAAACATACAGTCGCACCAGCGGGATTCCCTGCAGACATCCAGCTGGTACGTGTGGAGCCTGGAGGCTCATGTTCCACCACAGCGTTGCATTAGAGGACAAGCTATATATTTTGTTGTTCATCTCAACTGCGTTTCCTCGGGCAAAATCGACCAGGTTAAGAATTTTCTGCAACATCGTGTCAAAGCTGCTACGGGTCGCAGACCACAATTGCCATCGTTTCAACTGCATCAAGCAGGCCGCCATGTAGCATTTGCTGAGCCCATTACTGTCCTTTGGACATTGGAGCCGGTTGTCTTCGTACGAGTTGCACCGGATGCAAGAGATTGATTAAATTAATCTTAATGCACTGTGTTCGCTGCTGTTAATTGCAAGTTTGTCAGTACCATCGATTTTTAATACGTTTG